TCTTGAGAAATCCAAATTGGGCAAAACCACTCTCTGATCGAAGGGTATTAAGTGGGAAATATAGTGTTGTGATCTATAATACACCCAGTCAAGAAAATAAGCATAAAAATTCTTTATCCCATTAAGAAAACACCTAGGTCATGGACACAGCCCTAGACCTTTTATATCTTTGAAAAACATTCAAAAATAATCATCTCTAACTTTATACCTTTAGATTTGCAATCATTAGTTAATTTTAGAAGTAAAAACAAAACCCTATTTATGGAAGTTCAATCTAGATACTTCACGTACTCACTCCGAATATATACTACTAACTCCCATCTTAGTTCCCTGTGGATTGGGTTCTGAATACTTGTTGGGTTTTATTATTGCAAACGACCATGTCATACCTCGTTAGAGGTGTGCACTTGGACGTGATCAGAGGTCTTCTTGAGCTTGGAATGTTGTTCAGTAAAAAAGGATTCCAGTCTATCCTTATCTTTCTCAACTTGACTAGAATAATCTTTTTAAATTGCTAACTCAACGGAGACCATCCTCAGTTGTTGTTCCAAAGCTCCTTTCTCCTCTGCAAGAACGTCCTTCTCCAACTGAAGGCCTTCAAATTGTTCTTTTTAGTTGTCAGCCTCAGTGCGCATTTCAATTAATTGTTGGTCAACCTGTGAGACCCTTTTCATAAGCTCTTTACCAATCAAATTAATCTACAAAAAGGCAAAAGAAGAGGAGTTACGAATGAGGAAAAGGAAGGAAAGAAATATGAGTAAAGTTTTACCTTAAGAGAAGAATGAACAATGTCATTCATTAAAGTCAAAGAACTATGACCCTCCAACTTCTTCTTTTCTACGATTCCAAACAACAGTTGCAGCCATACATTGGCTTGTGTAGATTTTTTTTAACAAATTTCCACCCTCGGGGACTTCAATTATAACTTGTTTCATATCCCGCTTGCTGCTAGAAGTCTCAGCTTCTACATGAGGAGCGGCGGGGGCAACCATTGGGGCAACACTAGGCAAAGACACATGGGGGTTAACAGTAGGTAACAATGAAAGTGAAGCAAGTGGCAGCTCTTCGAAAATAGGCCGGAGTCCTTCTTCACCCTTAAAGCGATGGGCGAATAACCTTTTAATAGGACTTTGGGGGGTTGACTAAATTACTAGTGTCTTCATTAGAAATTTCTAATGGAACATTCTCTGGCTTATCAATAAGACTAAAGAGAATTTAACTTGACGGGAGATCATGAGAGATAGCGGTTTTATGATCTGAAGCCATGGGTCTTCTGACACCCGGTTTTCTCACCAAAGAACCTTCTTCGGCATCCTCTTCATCATCAGACTCACATACTTCAGTAGTTTTTCTCTTTGAGGAAGAAACACTCAAAATCCTTTCTTGTGCAGAATTCGCAGCAAGCCTGATTGAAGGGAACAGATGCGGGACTGATGCCACGAATGGAAAACCATAATAAGAAAGGGGTGATGAAAATGTTATACATGAACAAGTAAAGAAGGAGATGAACCACGAGAATAAAAAGTACCGTGAGTTTTCACTTTCCAACCAAATTTCTGTGAAAGAAATTTCCAAGATCTTTTGTCCATGGGAGCAACAGTCAACATTTTTTCTACCCAAGCACGGAAGTCGGGAATTTCTTCGAAGACTTCCATGGTTGCTTGAAAATTGAATATACGATTATGTAAAGGAACTGAAGACAATCTTACGTGCAAAGTTCTATTTTTCTAGAAAAGGCATGTTTCCTTCACCCACTAATCTACTAGTGGGGCAGCAACAAATCGGGCGTACCAGCCACAGTCACGATCATCCTCGGGACTGACTAAAACCTTTTTACTTCTAGATACAAGAGAAAAGACACCTTCACGAAATAGCTTAGGAAAGTAAAGATGAAATACGTGACGGAAAGTAAAAAGAGCGAAAACCAAATCCAACAAATAACGAAGGCATGCCACTGCCCTCCATATAATGATACCCATTTTGGCCAAGGTAAAAATTAAAATAGCGACATAATTCAATGATCACTAGGTCAATACGAGGTTTAAACACTAAAGTGAAAGGGTAGGTATAAACGAAAGTGAAGCCAGCGTGGTAAGAAGTGATTCTTTGGTTGGCACCAGGAATTAAAACTTGAAAATCTGGTTTCCAATGACATTTATGTCGAACTAAAGAAAGAAAACCAGGAGTGAATAGACTTGGGTAGTGTTCAGCTGGGTTAAGTGAAGCTATAGAAGAAACTTGATTTTTCATGGCTTCACGGTCTGACACAAAAGAAAACTCTTAAGGAACAATCTCAAAAACTGTAGGCTCACGCATGGGTTCATTTTGATCTCTACTCTTAGAAGAAGATCTAGGGGTTAAAGAAGCTTTAGACCTAGAAGGAGATAGCTTGACAGAACTACTTTGAGGAGTAGAACTACGAGTAGATGATGAACAAAAATAGTGGAGTCTACCACCTCTCCTACTCCTAGTAGAGGCAGTAGAAGGAGAAAGTTCATCGAACAGCGGAGTCTACCACCTCTCATACTCCTAGTAGGGGCAGTAGAAGGAGCAAGTTCATCGACGATCACGACCTTACGAGGATCTGGTGTTGAAGAAGACAAATTACAAAAGAAACAACAATGGAAAGATAGAGGAGTATGCTACAAGGTTAAGGAGATGAATGGAAAGATAGAGGAGTATGCTACAAGGTTAAGGAGATGAATGCAAAGAAGAAGGAAAAGGATTTCAGAAAATCAAGCATGATGAAGTATTTATAAGAAGAAGCAACTGTCATCCAGGTCGGTCATTATGAACTATCATAATAGAACCGTCACTTCGTGACTGGTGCAGATGCAAAAAAAAAACTTAAAAAGCACTGAGAAACTGCATAACCAATCAGGGTAAGCCACGTGGATTGGCATTAAACAGATGTGACATATGTCATATCAATTATGAAGAAGGCATTATGATACTTGAGAAACGGCGGCAATGAATTTCCGCCATAAATACTTACCACTTCCCGAATATTTTGTTAAGAATATTCAAAAAGTGGGAGGAGGGGGGTTATCTGTATTAGTGGAAAAAGACATGACACGTGGACCATCAATAAGGTGACATGTGGCATTGAGTTAAAGAATTCAAGAAGGCATGGGAGAAATACCCTCGGGATTTCTTTAGGAAAGAAACCGGCTTTGACAGCTGGAAAGAAGAAAAATAGGGGTGGAATGTATTAAGACCATTAAAGAAGGAAGGTGCACGAATCTATCTTAAATAAGGAAAGGAAATCGACACACAATCGTGGTTACGAGAAATCCTCAGTCATAAACGTTTTCGTTACGATTATATATAGAAACGGGTAATTAAGGCAATTTATGTTATTAATCAGTCGGAATTAAGTATGGAACCCGTTATAATTGTATGCTCATATATAAGGACTTAGTCCTTATTTGTAATGACAACGAATTATTATTGAAAATATATGCAATCATTCTTTACTTTATTCAAAAAGTTCTAACCGCAATCTTGGGAGCAATTGTCAGTCTATTTCGTGTTTTCATTCCTTATTAATTATTTTCATTCTTTGCTTTATTATTCAAATTACTAGGAAAGTGAAGTAAATCTTGGTTATCAGTAACCCGATTTCTTCTTGATATTAACTTTGACCGAGAAATCTATTTTCGGGTTAAACGGGTATGATTTAAAATAAATAGCTAAATGCATTCTCGTTGTGTCATGTTAATTACTTTATAAGTTAAACCTGTATACGGGTGAAATCGGGGCTAACATACACCTCGATTTTTCGGCGGATTAAACGAAGTAAGAGTATGAATATAGGAGTGCTCGCCATCTGACCTAATAAGACGATGCATCCCGGGCTCGAGATGAGTTCTGAGACTTCGGGAAGCGCAACGAACGGTTGAAGGCGACAGATAGAGGGTCGTGATATTCGGAACCCACTGGATATCACGGTGCAGATCTGCTCGATGGCGGTTGTGGATCAATAATTAATGAGAGAGGAGGATTTTTACCCTTTCTAGACTTGTACGAAACTCTCCTACTATATAAAGGGAAGTTTTTTCTTTGGTAGGACATATTGTAACACGCGAACCAATGCAATAAAAATTCATCTTTCTGCTTTCTAGCTATTGCAAAGTTTTTATTGTATTGCCGCTCTTCATACACAATTGGCTTCGAACTGAGGATCAGATCGAGGACCAAACTACTGTCCAGCCTAAATACGAGTCAGACCGTAACATCACAATTGGTTTGATTATTCATTTTATTTTTAACTCTTTTATCTAACATTCTTGATTATTTGTGTTAAATCAATCCATGTCTCCTTAAAATCGCGTATAAATTTAATTTTTAGGGTAAACAAGACTATTCACATAACTCAGCATAATAATGTTTTGATTCGAATCGCATTAGTAACCACTAAAACTTACGTGCTCGAACAACCGGAAAAGAAAAATGTGAAGCTGCAAGTTATAAGAGCACGTGTTAAGCGCTTAAAACAAATTAAATAAAAATATTATCTCCTTCAACAGTTTAAGTTCTTATAAACTATTCACATAAATTAACAAACTCAGAATTTAAAATTTATGAATTTTAAATTTGTTAACAAACTCATAGCTCCTCTTAATATTAAGTTCGTATTTAAGTATTTATATATATTTAATTAAATTTTTTAATATAAATATAAAGTCTAAGCAAAAGCTACTAAGTTCGTTCTAGCTCCGTCCTAACTAAGAATCTATAGTCCCCATATAAAGTGATAAGTTCAAACAAATTATATTAATTCAAATATGCGACTATTAGAAGTCTTGGACTAATTAATAGTACAAAAAGAAGAAGACAAGTTTAACTCCTCCATGTAACCTTAATAAACATGTTTTGTCAAATGCAAGAAAAGAGAATTCACAATACACTTGCTAGTAATTGCTTGGAACCTCTGTTTTCCCAACAAATATGTACTCCTATGTCGTATGACTGAAGCGTTAATTTTCCAATCCGCCCACGTTGCCCCTCACTATTAGTACTCCCTAGCTCAAGTGCTCCAACTTGTCAGGATATTAATTCCTTATTCACTCTATAGTCATGGAACAAAAACAATCAAACTCCGAAATTGATCAGTCCCCTAATTTTTCTATAGCTGTAGATTATGATCAGAAAGCCACTGAATTCCGTCCATTTTCATTATCTTCACCTCACATGCGAGCTTTTCACCTTGCATGGCTCTCTCTATTTTCTTGTTTCTTCTCCACTTTTGCTATCCCCCCACTTCTTGAAGTCATTCGTAAAGACCTTAATCTCACTGAAACTGACATTGGAAGAGCTGGAATTGCTTCTTTCGTTGGTTCCATTTTCTCTCGCCTAGCGATGGGCCCCGCATGTGACGTGTTCGGTCCACGTGTTGCCTCTGCCACGCTGTCTCTCCTCACTGCCCCAGTAGTTCTCTCAACTTGTCTCATATCCTCCCCACAAGGCTTCATCTTGGTTCGGTTTTTAATCGGTTTTTGCTTGGCTAATTTCGTGGCTAGCCAATTTTGGATGAGTTGTATGTTCTCTGGATGTGTTGTTGGGCTTGCAAATGGATTTGCTGCTGGTTGGGCCAATGTTGGGTCTGGTCTGACCCAATTAGCCATGCCACTCGTATATTCACTCTTCACAAGCTGCTTAAATATACCTTCATTTATTTCGTGGCGTATTGCATTTATTTTCCCAGCAATATTTCAAGCCGTGACAGCAATTATGGTCCTAGTGTACGGCCAAGACTTGCCTGACGGTAACTACAAGCGCAAGAAAATAACAGGCCACAAGCCTAGTGAAAATATTTTGAGCATAGTTTTAAATGGGCTAAAGAATTACAGGGGATGGATATTGGGTATAACATATGGATTTTGCTTTGGAGTTGAATTAACTACAGATAATATAATAGCGGAGTATTATTACGAGAGGTTTCATGTAAATATTGATGTAGCAGGGGGGATCGCGGCGAGTTTTGGTGTAGCGAATTGTGTGTCGAGGCCAGTAGGTGGAATTATATCTGATAAGATGGGGAAGAGATTTGGGATGAGAGGGAGGTTATGGAGTTTGTGGGTGGTGCAAACGGTGGCTGGATTGCTGTGTATACTGCTTGGGCGAGTCAATACAGTTGGGGTCTCTGTTTTGGTAATGGCTTGTTTTTCTCTCTTTGTTCAAGCTGCTTCGGGCCTCACATTTGGTATTGTGCCTTTTGTCTCCAAAAGGTAAATCTACAAATTTCCTCATTTTAATAACTAATACTGACGTTCAATATTTGTGAATGCTCAACTCATTATTTACAAATAATTACATCACTCGTGATATCATAATGTACAAGTTAAACTAATTTATCTTTTCTTTTTTTTTTTTGGTGCAAAGTTAAACTAGTTTCTTAGTTAAACTCTCTATTAATTGATGGTGTCAAGTTTTTTTTCTTTTTGGAATACGGAAGTATTTTTCAACAAAAGGATGGTAAACTCTTTATTAGTTAGCCTTAATTGATATAAATGGGGGAATTTTTCTTCTCTTCCTCTTTCAACCGCAAAAATACTGATTATCCGAATTCCGATTAGGACACGAGAAGGTCTCTACCTCAATGATATAGAGTAAAGTAACCCCCTTGAATGTTCACCCGCAGAATTAATAAATAGCAGTCCACTTAATTACTTAAACTAAAAATAGTCGACGGATATATATAATATATAATCTATGTATACCAATTAAAAGAAATAAAAAATAACACCGGCCGGCTATTTGGGTAAAAATCCTTAAATTTATAGGGAGGAAGAAAATCCAACCATTTAATTTAAAATATAAATAAATATATTTCGCAGAAGCTAAGAAAGGTAGAAAAGTTTTATTTTGTATTTCATACAATTTACATTAGTTGCATGAGGTTCTTTTTTCTCTTATAAATTTGTGGACCCAATCCACATAAATTTGGTCCACAAAAATCTAGATTTACAAAACTGGGACAAAAAAGTTACTCAAGACCCAAAATAAAATTTTCAAAAAAAGGTGCGTCTCCTCGATCCCTGACTTATCAGGACTGTTGAGTGCACGGTAGGGCCAAGAATCTGTCATTTTTCCTCTTTAGGACAGTTCAACAATTCCGAGGACTGCTGCCAAAAGACTGGAAAGGGCAGGTACAGACAGAGGCTAGCAAATGTACCCAACGCAAGTCGATCTTAAAAGCATGAGTACGAAATGATATTTTGGACTCAAAATATCTTTAAAAATAAAAAAATTATATTTTTAACTATAACGAAATATTATGCCGCGTTTTAGTTTAACGAAAAATTTATCGTTAAAAGAAAATATAATATAATACTATATTTTAATTAATAAATTATTTTTTAATGTAAAATGCATTAAAACGTTATATTATGATGCGTTTTACCTTAAAGCATTTATGAATGTTGTCAGGTATAAACACCACCTTCTTTTTCAGCTTAGGTTTTACAAGATTGAGTTTGTGTATTTTTATTAAACTCAAAAGTTTCTTTTGATAAAAGGTGTGTTAATTACTTAAATAGTCATCTAACAAGATATAAGAACAAAACAATAAAAATATTGTCTTATTTTTTGTAACAATATAATCAATAATATGATACCTATTATTTTAGAAAATAACTCTAGCGTGAGACTATCTAATTATGCTTTGTTTGATAGTATTGTGCATTTTTAGTGGGTGTTTGGACATAAGAATTGTAAAATTCGAAAAAAGATAAAACGAAATTCATGTGAAAATGATATTTGAAAATTAGAGTTGTGTTAGGACATGAATTAATTTTGGGTTTTTTTGAACTTTTGTGAGTGATTTGAGTAAAAAAATTGAAAAATAGCTTTTTTGCAATTTTTCAAATTTTCGAAAAATTTCAAAATTCATCTTCAAATGAAAATAAGATTTTTATAGATAAATATTGATTTCGAAAAAAAATGAAAATTTTTCTAGAAATTATTGATTTGAATAAAACGCTGTAGCTTTCTAGAATTTTAATTTACGGAACACTTCGAATTAAATAATGATATGATTTCTCCTGTAATTGCTAACTTTTAAGGACCATTTGAACTTGCTCGCTAGTTACAAGTCATTAATCACTTAAAAATAATATTGTGGATATTACAATTATAAATCATTACTATTTTTCATAGGTAAGCATGCTGATTTTTTCGAAATTTTTTTCACTTTTTTTTCGAAATCAGTATTTGGCCATAAATTTTTCAATTTTCACTTGAAGATGAATTTTGGAATTGTTCAAAAATTTGAAAAACTCCAAAAAGTTATTCTTCAAAATTCACTTAGATCACTCACAAAATTTTCAAAATAACCCAAAAAATTATACTCATATTCAAACACAACTCTAATTTTTAAATACTATTTTAACTTAAAAAAAATTAGACTTTTTTTTTTGGAATTTTACAATTCTTATATCCAAACACCCACAAAGTAATAGTAATACCAAAATAAATTAGGGTAAGGAAGTTGTATTCAATTTCCATGTATTTTTAATATTAAATATTTTGGTTAATCAGTATTTTTTTTACCGTTAAAACTCCTTTGTGTTTAAGAAAGTTGTGCACCAAATTCTAGCGGAAAATAAACGTTGTGGGACCATGTATAAAAAGTTGAAATTAAGAGCAACAGAAAATAGCTTGGTGCAAATGCAGACAAAGCTAAAAGATGCACAGTCTCTGTTTTATAAGGTTGGAATTAGTAAAACGTTCTATTATAATACGTTTTACATTAAAAATAATTTATTAATTAAAACGCAGTATTATACTACGTTTTTCTTTAACGGCTAACTTTTCGTTAAACTAAAACGCAGTATAATATTGTATTTTAGTTAGAAATATAACCTTTTTTTTAACTGTATAAAGGTATTTTGAGTCCAAAATACCATTATTTAGGTTTCGGATACTTAAAAGCATAGTCATACTATAGGAGTCACAATAGGACACGTAGACTAAACGTGGAGTAAGAAACTATGCTCATAATACTCACATTTATTTTCGAGATTAATTTTAGAGGTGGTAAAATCAACATAATTTTAGTAATTTGTCTAGTCCATCCAAGTTTGAGTGGGTGGATTATGACTTAGTTTATTGACTTGTGTTGATTCAGTTCTTTAAGGCCAAACTTTGAGCAGATTGAGTTACCATTGCGTTAATTACAGTATTTGATACGTGTTTACGGGTCCAATTTGATATGATATTTCAGGTCATTAGGAGTAATATCAGGCATGACAGGAAGTGGTGGGACTTTAGGAGCAGTCATAACACAATTTCTGCTATTTTCAGGTTCCTCCAAATTCTCAACCCAAACGAGCATATCTATTATGGGCCTACTGATGCTTGTCTTCACTCTGCCAATTACCCTTATCTACTTCCCCAAGTGGGGCGGAATGTTTTGTGGTTCTTCAATAGACGAAGATGATGAAAACTACCACCTACTTGATTAAGTCTTTGTGATTGCTTTTAAATGTTCAGGACTCGTGTAGGATCCAAATATCAAATTGAGTGCTAAAATATGTATCTATGGAAATTAAGTTAGCTAGGATTTAAATAGCAATCTTAATATATTAGTATTATTTTTGTAATTATGTGTAGTTATTGGTAATACTTGTGTATTGGATTGTTTCTAGTAATACAATTAAAGTGCCTTTCCAGAGCAAAAACCCATGAAGAGGTTATCTAATTTCTGATGGATTTATAGGCTCAAACACCTGTTTGCCTTTTCTTGCCATATTACTCGACACAGACACAAAAAGAAGGGATATTTTGCTGCCTTCAATTAATACAATTAGACGATTTTAGTCTTTCTGTTAACAAATCTTTGACAGCGCGCAAAGGGAATACCAGCACACGTCTATCAATGAAGGTTAAATATGTTTAAGTAGGATATTGCTATTACTTTTCCTCCTATTTAATTGATGCAGTTTGATTGGGCATGGTATTTAAGCGAGAAAAAAAAACTGTTAAATTTATAATCTGAAACTAAGTCATAAGATAACAACGCATCACATAAATGGGACAGGAAGAGTAATAATTAAGGGACCAAAATTGAAATTTTCCCTATAATTCTAAAACAAGCTCAAACTAATATGATTAGCAGCAAACAGCAGCTTAAATTCTCCAAATTCTTGCACTTGAGCAAAGATGATGCCTTTGCCACGCATATTCCGTAACTTCAAGCTTTATTTGCACTTCAAATACGCTATGGCACGAATATCATGGAATTAAACCCTGAACTTGTGGTTGAATGGTTTTCGGCTAATGAGAAATATTTTAGGTGATAGATGACTCAAATATGTCAAGTTTCCACATCTTGAATTAGACCTTGTTATATGCACACTAAATTGTGACATCAATTACAACTATAATAGAGTAGACAGAGCAGATATATATATA